GACAAGTAGAAAATATATTAAGATAATTTGGACAAGATTGCCATGTTTTTTTGCCACCATTTTAATAAAGTGAACGTGCATTTTATAAGAAGGGCTTATATCAAATCTTGTAGTAACAATATTGTTCTTCACAAATATTATTGCCAAAAATTCATCAATCATTCAATAATTCAACATTTTTATTCGTTAAAACATTCAGTAACATTTCTTCTATAGCAATGACTAAAATACAGGTAAGTGATTAATAAAATTACATTATTGATATCTGTTTTATATATATATATATATATACACAATATACATATATATTATATATATATTTTTTAATTAATTAAAATTTCTTTATATTATTTTTTTAACAAATTTTTTAAGATTTTAACTTTAATTATTTTGAAAATAACTTTTTTTATAAATATAAAATAAATTTTATCTATTATGATTTGATTTTGTATTATTACTTTGTTTTAGGTTGGACCTGTTGTTGATGTCTTAGGTGATGAAATGACAAGAATCATTTGGGATTCCATTAAAGAGAAACTCATTTTACCATACTTAGATATTAAATTACATACTTATGATTTAAGTATTGAAAATCGAGATGCTACTAATGATAATGTGACTATAGAATGTGCTGAGGCTATTAAAAAATATAATGTAGGGATCAAATGTGCTACTATTACTCCAGATGAAAAAAGAGTGAAAGAATTTAATTTAAAAAAAATGTGGAAAAGTCCAAATGGTACTATTAGAAATATTTTAGGTGGTACAGTTTTTCGTGAACCTATTATCTGTAAAAATATACCAAAATTAGTAAACAGTTGGATTCGACCAATTATTATTGGTAGACATGCTCATGCAGATCAATATAAAGCTATAGACTTTATAATACCTGGTCCAGGAAAACTTGAAATTACATGGATTGGAGATAATGAAAAAAAAATTCAACATACAGTTCATAATTTCAAAGGACCTGGCATTGCACAAGCTCAATATAATACAGATGAGAGTATTCGTGCTTTTGCTCATAGTTCTTTTCAATATGCTTTATCAAGAAGTTATCCTTTATATCTTTCTACAAAAAATACAATTCTTAAAGAATATGATGGTAAATTTAAAGATATTTTTCATGAAATATATGACAAAGAATATAAAGCACAATTTGAAGCCAAGAATATTTGGTATGAGCATCGTTTAATAGATGATATGGTAGCATATGCAATGAAATCAGATGGTGGTTTTGTATGGTCTTGTAAAAATTATGATGGTGATGTTCAATCTGATTCTGTAGCACAAGGCTATGGATCTCTAGGTTTGATGACTTCAGTTTTAATTTGTCCAGATGGACGTACTGTGGAAGCTGAAGCTGCTCATGGTACAGTTACAAGACATTACCGTCAGTATCAACAAGGAAAGGAAACTTCAACAAATCCTATTGCCTCTATATTTGCATGGACAAGAGGTTTACTTCATCGTGCAAAATTGGATGATAACAAAGATCTTAAACAATTTTCAGAAACATTAGAAGCAGTTTGTATTAATACTATTGAATCAGGTTTCATGACAAAGGATCTTGCAATTTGTATCAAAGGCATAAATAATGTTACTAGATCTGATTATTTAGAAACATTTGAATTTATAGATAAGTTAGCAGAAAATTTACAAAAACAAATAAAAGTAAATTGACTAGAATATCTTCCTAATAAAATGTTATCAAAGTATTAATTATCTAAAAAAAATTATTATTAATGGTTATGGGGAAAGAATATGCATTTAGATTATAAAAATAAAATATAATAATATAAATGAAATTGAGATTAACATATTGTAATTATAATTTTTGTAAAAATATATTCAGAATCAAATTCTGTTTTGATATTTTATGTACATATATATTTTTTTAATATCTTTAAATATTATTACAAAAAAATTGATTTTTATTTTTTTTACTTTCCTTTCATGAAAAAAGCGTGATAATTCTTTTTCAAACATTAATATTAAATATTATTATATTACTATTAATACTAAGTTATATTTCATGTTGTAATTATTAAATCTTATTCAAATATTTATATTATATATTTTTTACTTAAATATTTCATTAATTTTAAATAATTAATAATAATTCAATATATTTAAATTCTTATAAAATTAAGTATAAAAATATTATTCACATTTATCATTTGATTTTATTTTAATTTTTATTTTATATATTTGCAAATTGATTTTATTTAAAGTATATTATTTATAAGAATTATAAAAAAAAATAATATTAATTTCATTCTATTTAATATTTAAAAATAGCTTTTTATAACAATATCAAAAAAATAATATAAAAAAATATTTATTTTATTTAATTTTTAATAAGGTTATCAACTCATAAAAGATGAAATATAATAATTGGCATAACCTTTATATTTTATTATTATTATTATTAAATGTAAACTATCATATAAAATCTGATATTGCATAACTCCTTTAAACTATAATATTATTTTATTTTTTATTAAAAAATTAAAAAAATTATTATTTTTAATATTTATATAAATTACATAATTAATGATACTGAATAATATCTATTATTATATACTGAATCAATTTCAATTGATTTAAATTATATTATAATATATTATAATTATATAATATATTATGCTAAACATATGCATTTATTATAATTAAAAATACTATTTTTTATTAAATAATTACCATACCCAATATACCCAATATATAGTACCATATAGATTCTAATGTTCAATTAATTAATGAAAACTTAGTTCCGTATATTATTATTCATTATTTTGGATCATTAACTCTCGAAAAATTGAAAATAGTTGCAAATAGTTAAAAGTAGGTAAGTAATAATATTATTATAATATGAATACTAATTTGACATATTATTATTCTATTTTACAAAATCAATGATAAATTAAGAAATTAAAATATCTTTAAAAATTATAAATTAAAAATGAAGATATAAATATAAATAATATTAAAGAAATATAATATTAAATATATTAATTATAATATTAAATAAAAAATAGATTAATATTTAATACATATTCTATCTTAATCTTTTTCTTCTTTTTACATATGATAACAAAACATGTTAGCAGCAAAGTTTTAAAAATCTTGATATTAAATATTGTTATTTATATTAAATCTTAATTAAGCAACAAATTAACTGAAATATTGCATTTTTACTATGTTTCTATGATCAAATTATATAGCAAAATTTTAATATTTCTTCTATCAATTTGTAATGAGTTATACGAAAAAAATCTGAACGTTTCTGACACGAATCTACTTTTAGTAAGATCTGTTATATTTCTGCAATCAATTTGCTAATTCCTTCATAACTCTTTTATAAAATCCTGTACTAAATTTAATATTTTTCTGATGATAAATTTTAGAATTCAAAATTTTGGAAAAATTAAAAGTAGATTTTGCGTAAGATTAAAAAAAAATGATTAATAATTCATTTTATTAATTAATATATTAATTACATATTAAATTATTTTATTTTATTTTATTTATCTATGATTTATCTATAATCTATTTATAATCATTTTAATAAGTTCATTTATTTATATTTTATTTATTTTATTTTATTTACATATAAAATACCAATTCAAATATATTAAATTTCCGAACAATAGAAATATAAATATTTAAACAATTAAAAATAATTTTAATCTTTTTTTACACAAAAAGATTATCATAATAGTATATAATTTCGATATCATTTGTTTATTATAAATAATTTTTAAAAAAAATTTTTTTAAAAAATATGATAATTTCATTAAATTTTGAAAATTGATTTATTGATAATAATGCAAGTTTTTTAAAAAAAACTTCATATTTTTATTTATAAATTATATATCTATATTATATCACATAAATATATAATATAATATAATATAATTGTAAAGAAAACATATATATTTATATACTTTCGATAGTTAAAATATATTTATATATAATTTCGTATTTTCATGATAAATTTTAATAAACAATTGGAGATAATTCTTATTAATAAAAAAGAAAATATAAAATATTATACATTTAAAATATTACTATTTAATACTTTATTATATCATATGAAAAAATCATATAGAAGATACAAACAATTAATATAATTATTTAATTAATATTCCATTCTTAATTAAAATCTTATTTTATTAATTAATATCTTTTATGGAATAATAAAAAAAAGTTATAATTAAAAAAAAATAATAAAAAAATTTTTAATTTACAAATATATACTGTTTTTTTATTTTTTATTTAAAAATTATGTTTTTAATAGAATGTAAAATAATTTATTTTTCATTAAATAAAATTAAATTCATTTTTTTTAATTATAAAAAAAAATTATGATTTATAAAATTTAGTATAAATTTTAAATATACTATTTTATAATAGTTAATAGAAATTAAAAATCAATATTAAATACGTATAATTTAACAGATTATGTTTAATGATGTAAAATTTAAAACAAATTTTTTGAATAATATATATATAATATAATATTAATTTTTAGTAATATCATAAATTTATAAAGCAATGCAAATGAAAGAAATAATTTAATATTAAACAAATTTAACAATTTACGGATGATTTTAAATGATTTAAATATATATGATAAATTATAATATAAAATATAAAGATAAACCATTCATATTATCTGGATAATTTATTAATATAATTTATCAATGTAATAAAAAATATTACTAATGAAATGATAATAGTTGCAGATTTTCTATCCTTATTTTACTTTATTATTGTACTTTTTATTTTTACATTTTTTGAAAACTAAAAATTTAAAACTTAAAAGAATTAAAAGAAATAATTAATATTATATCGTTAAATGTTAATACGTTAATAAAAATTTACATGCAAAATAATAGTTACAGCAAAGGAATAAAAACGAAAATCAAATCGAAATATTTATCATACTGTTTTTTAAGTTTAGTTTAATTAATTTGTTTAATATTTTCAATATGGAGATATTTTTAAAATGAGATTGCCTCCTCTATTTAATGAGCTTACTATTGTCATCATCAGTTCATTCTTTTCTCTTGCAGTTGTATCGAGGGCTGCAGGAGAAACAAACTAAAGGAAGTGGGGGCGTTTGAGGAGTATGTGGATACCAGCATCACAATTGGAATTGCAGATGGCGCCTGACCTGCGTCACTTCGGCTCGCCATCGTTCTGTTCGAGTTGGTGAAAGAGGAGGGAGGGGCTAGTTGTCTCTACTTGTAGTCTTTCTACAATTCATCCTTCGTTTTGTCGGCTACTGTTAGCCGATGACGAGGTATTTGAAGATAATTTGCAGTATCGAGATAAAACGATCTAATCGTGTCTAAAAAGAGAAAGGAAGGAAAAGGAGGGAGGAAATAAGGATCCAACGAACATATCCGATTTTTTCGGGCCTTGAAAATTATAAAATATCGTGATGTTATATTCGGTGCTTCTGGTTGGCAGTATAAATCGATTGATATGAGATCGTGGATTTATTGACATATCTATTTACAACGGTCATTCAATCAGAGGATAACCTGCTTCAAGCGAAATAACTCGAGGTTTGTTTTCTAGTCAACAAAATCGAGTATTTAATCTCCTCCCTGTTTTTCTTGATATGCATACACATGTATATGTTTTAAACGGTACCTGTCAAATCGTCTGTAAACCGGAAATCACTTGGAGAAGCGGAAATCAAACACGCGTGTCAAAAACCAATCTTCTCTAATACTTACGTACTTATTTATTATGTTTTTTTATATTTACGTTAATGAAGTTTCTTTACTATTTATTATAATGAAAATATATATCTTATTATGAAAAAAAGTTATAAAAATGATCTTGGAATAAAACAATAAAAATAAGAGATGAGATACATAAAAAAATCTAATGTTCGAATTATTAACTCATTTTACGATCTTTATTAACTTAATATAGGTAATATTATATAATAATAATACAACTTATTGAAAATAATTATACATAAAGATTCAAAGAAGTAGTTATTGCAAATTAAAAAAAGTTAATCAATTTTTATTTTAATATATATAAAATTAAATATATTTAAAATATTAAAATAGTAATCGTAAAGTATAAAAATTTAAATCAATTTGAAGCAATTATATATTATTTTAAATAATAAATATATATATATATTTGTTAAAATTTATCTTTTAAAAATAATTTTTTGTAATACATTAACAATTATAAAAAAAAAGTATAAATTTAAGATATAAAATGTCTCGTAAATCAATGTTCTTATATAAAGTATTTATGAGATCATATCTTTTATTATTATTCTCTACAAACTAACATAATAAACAAATAGAGATCAATTAAATTATTTTATTTTTAAAATTTTTTTTAGGAAATAAACTTAAAAGAGTTAAATTTCATGAAAATGTTCGACCGTCTTCTTCGTCAGCAGTTTTACAAGTAAAGAAAAATGGCGTCGATAGCTTCTAGATCGCGCAACCGCCGAGTAAGCTGTATTCTTACTTCCGTAATGTGCACCAACATTTTTCTATATGATAAATTGACCAATAAAAATTAAAAAAAATCAACTTTTTAAGAAAAATTAAGTACATAACAAAAATATATTTCAATTTTATAATTTTTAATTGTTAAAGTAATCATTTTTAATCTATAAGAAATGATATGAGTGAGTTAATGTTAATGTCATCGGAAAATAGATAAAGGTGCAAGCTAATGGAAAAGTGAATGTTGTTTTTTTATTTTGTTATATAGTTCAAAAGATTGAGTAGAAATAAAAATATTTTGATACGTGATAGGAATAAGAGAAAACAGACGTGGAAGAGAACAAATCTTGTTCAAGATGTCAGGAAGACTACCCCGATTGCGTGCACTTCGTCCACGACCTCAGCATTTTAAAACGGAACCACATAAGGAAAGTAACCTTAAAGAAAATCGACGGGAAACTGTAATGAAAGAACACGATTTACAAAGCGAAGACATTTCCTACAGTGTCAAAGATGATGATACTATAAAAAAGCATGAACATGAGGCGTTTGATTATTCGGAATCCTCACAAAATTATGAGTGTAAAACATGTAAACCTTCAAAGTCTCTGTCAAGTCTTAAAGCATATCTCGATCATCTAAAAAAAGAGCACAAACAAAAGGTATATTATTTTAATTGTAATAATTATTGTTATATTGAAATAAAATATAATTTTTTTATTAAAAATTTAATAGATTTATTATCTAAAAAAATAATCTTTAAAAACATAATATAAAATTTATATTTATATTTATTTTAGAAGAATAATAATTTATATTAAAATAAAATATATATAGTACATTATTTATGAAGTTTGCTCATAATACAATAATAATTTATTCATAATATAAAATTAATTTAATTAAAATTCTCTTCATATGAAATACTTAAAAATAATGTTTATTTATATTTAAAGTTTTAATAATGCATAATATAATTTATAATTTTATAAATGCATAATAATTTTTAGGGAAAATTCATGCGTGATACTGGAAATCGATGTTCTATGTGCTCATATGTTGCACTAAATTCAAGAGATCTTGAAACTCATCAGAGAGTACATCATTTAAAAAGAAGATTTTTCCGTTGTGCTAAATGCTCTTATGTAACACATGTACGTGCTCGCTATACAAAGCATGTGAAGTATCATTCTATGCCAATGATTAAATGTGATGCCTGTGATTTTCGTACACCATACAAGGTTGATTGAAGTTTTCTAAAATGTAGCAAATTAATATTTTTTTTTTCCATAAGATAAGAATAAATATTTTTTTTATAGTGGAATTTAGATAGGCATACTAGAAATCATGGAGGAGGTGGAGCTTTTCAATGCCGTGCTTGTAATTTTACAGCTGATATTAGACAAAGTTTAACTGTACATGAAACTAATCATCATGAGCCTCCAGTGGGTCAAATAAATCGTAAATCTAGTACACCTTTTGAACGTAAACCAAGAAATAGTCCTAAACGTTACAATCAGGTAATATAATATATTATAATATAATTTCTTAATTATTAATTATTATTATAAAATAATTAATTTTAGGTGGTGCAAGTGATTTTCGAGAATCATTGCATATATCTGCAAGTACAACAGTCTCAATTAGTCCTGGAGATACATTCATTTCTGATCAATCTATGGAAGATAAAAGAAGTGCAATAGCTAATGCAGAATGTATAGCATTGAAATGTGAAGAAAAAGGTTGTCAATTTATTACTGCATGGGATTCTGAAATGCAAAGACATTTAGCAGAATGTCATATTCCAATTACACCAAATAAATCTAGAAAACCACTGCCAATGTTAATCCCACTAAGTCCTGCTAAATTAAATAATATTAGCAGTGGACCTTCAACAACATTATTAAAAGTTCCGCGTGTCAGGGTAAGACCGGAACTCGCACAAATTGCAAGAGATACAGAACTAGCGAAGTTATATGGGAGTAAAGAAGTTAGTCTTTTTTTATATTAAATATATCATTAAATATATCATATATATATATTCAATTGATTATTCTTATAATGTTTTAATAATTTAAATATAAAATTTTCATAGGTTAACAACTTAAAGAAGGATGCGAATAACGCGGCTGATTTATTGAAAAAAAAATGCTTCCTTCTTTGATAAGCTTAAGGAAAAACTTACAACGACAGCGTCAATTAATAATGGAGTAGCGGAGGTAGCTGTAAGTACTACGAACGATTTGAAATGCTGGTGTACTTTTAAAGCTAGTAGCATGGAAGAGCTGGCTTGTCACAAACAAATACATCACACTGCTCTCAGTGTATCTGTGGGCACAACGCGTTGCCCGAAGTGCAGAAGACGTTGCAAAAGTTCGACTGATCTACAAGTACATATGCAGTGTTGTCATTCGACAAGCAATGATACGTCAATACACAATAGTTTAGAAAAATTATCAAATTGTTCAGAACTCCGTGTGACCTCGTATCGCGGTGAATATGCATTCCCAGCGCAAATGGATTGGGACGTTAATCTCAGCGGACTGAATTCTTCTGGATCATCGGTATGGTGTTTCATAAAAATATTTATTTAACGCGTGCAGATGATTAATATGAATACACGCACACGAACGAATAATAATAACAAAAATAATAATAATAATCATGCAAAAATTGCAATACGAGAGTCAACAGATCTGATTATATTTCTTAATTGGCATTAACCATATTTTAAAATACATTGATACAAACATTCTAACTGGCTATTAGAATTATATATTTATAATTAGCTTAAAAATTATGAATTTCTGTTCTTCGAAATATGCAACGCTATTATAAGCTATTTTTAATTATCTTAATGTATATTTTTCTTTAGTATTT